TCACACCTTCTAGGCTACTTGTATTGAAACTGAATGTTTCTTTGATATAAGAATAAAACTTGTGCACTGTGGTAGAGTGTAATTCCATTATGGGTAAATTTTGTTTGATAAAGTCTCACAGTGTTATACAGTTCACTGATAACATCAGTAAACATAACTGTATAACACTGTGAGACTTTATCAAAACAAAATTTACCCATAATGATTTTTCCTTTGGCTTAAACTTTGACCCTGATGTCTGTGGTTGTCTGTATGTAGTGATATGAGGGATTGGATGTCATGTCTTTTGACGGCTAGTTTGTGTTCATGGATATGAAGATGAAGGGGACGTCCACTTTGGCCAATGTAGTGTTTTTCACAGCTTTTACAATTTATTTTGACATGACATCCACTTCGTCATATCACTACACACAGACAACCACGGATATCATTTCGACTGGGATAACGTTCAAATATTAAACTGAGGGGACAACAAGAATGCTAGAGAATATTTAGAAGCCTGTTATTCCAGTGAATCATCAATCAATAGACATATCGAGATAGACAAAATTTACCAACCGATAAGAAGGAAATCTTATACACAAAGGGTTAAAATTCAGGACAAGGAAACGACCACTTTCAATACAAGTAGCCTATAGGGTGTGAAAACACACAAAAACAAGCAATCACGTTCAAGGTGACTCACCAGGAGAGATGATGAATAAACTCGTGGAGAAATCTAAAAGCTCACTTCAACAAATTGAAGTATGCGTTGAAGAAGTTACCTAGTAGGGCAATGAAAGCTTCGTAAATTAACTATCCAGTTCAGAGAACACAACCAGATCAAAAATGATCATGAGCAATTCTATCATCATCTAGTGAAGGGGATATAACAGCCGAAATAGCCTGGAATGATTTAACAGTAGAAATTTTGGAGTGCACGTGCAACTCGATTATTATCATCTGTCCAACTTCGATGAATCCAGTATTATAACCGTCGCCAACTTTGTAATTTGCTGACATCTACTGAGTGGTAAGGCCATGATGGTCATGGATAGAGAAAGAGAGAACACGCAATAAGCTAGAGCATATGTATTCACCAGTTAGTATATTGACTGGTACATAAATCATAATATAATAATAAAGTGAGTTAAAAAAGATAAAATCAATAGATAGTCCATATATCAATCGCATATCATCTAGAAGGTGTTATTTAAAAGAGATAAAATCAATTGATAAATTAATTATCGATCTTCATGTCAATTTTCACAAGGAAGACAGAATAGAAAATGTATCCATCATTATAAGCTTCTTGTACAGTGTACAATTTTTATTTACTAACCAGAGTCATTTGTAAATTTCAAGAGTGTAATACTTGTTTGTATACAGAGAACAGCCGGTGACTATACCTCATTGGTTTATTTAAATATTGCTATTCGATATGACCAGTAATACGGCCCTAGTAGACTGTGAACATACGAAAACTACTCAAACCAACAAACATACCATCAGCCACAATAAAAAAAATATCACCAGTCTGGAGATGTGGCTCATTGATTTAAGCGCACGGGTCCGATTTCGAGTCCCACTGCACCTAATTTACCATGGTTAACTGGGTAGTATCATTATCCCTCACACAATATAAATGTCGCTCTTAGTTTAGTGGACGGAAAATCTCTTCCGAGTAATTGAGCTTAATCAAAACCAGCATGCAAAATCAAGAACAAAAAACGGACCGTTGTTAGAGAGCTGTTATTATTTTTACTAATATAATCTGATGCTCGCTAGTGACTTGCTATTGGACGGAGTTTCCTGGAGTTCTAGTGAGAAGTCGTGACCAGTGAGAGATTCATCCAGTCAAGTGTAAACATGGATGTCCCACCGATGAAATTGGTTTGGTGGTCGCGCTAAATCACAAATTGCTAGAAGTCAGAATTCACATGGACTGGATATTAAATCGGGTCCTGGTGACTGAAAAGTCTATGAGCTTGCCTTGTAACTGGAAGGTCATGGGTTCGAACCTTGGCAGCGGGTGCGTAGTTCCGATGATTCCCAAACTAGGATGAAACAGCAGCTGTCCAGTACTCCAGTGCTGGTTTTCAGTGGTTCTCTAACTGATATCAACTCGTAAAAACTAATAATATTGTTAATAAATGCTATTTTCTTCGGTTCCTAGTTGAACATACGACTTCCGTAGCACATCTTCACTTCATCCTGTTCTCTGCAGTTCTCTTCAGCGCAGGGTCTACAATTTCCCCTTAGCTCTCATCCCTTCATTTCATCATGTCTTCTGAAGTTATCTTTAGCTTGATCCACGATTGACCACAGGGAAATTTCATCTTCTCACACAATCACCTAAATGTGACCATCGAACTCACGCGCCTCTCTCATCGTTCCGCATTCGGATTCCACTACTCTAGGTTTCTCCTGACGCTCAGTTACACTCAGAGGTCTTTTCGGCGTGTGTCCTATGGATCTCCATTTTCTTTGGCATATTTTTAAGCAATAAACTCGTGTTCGGCTCGTTGCATCGCAGAGTTCCTGGTTGCTAATCCCTTCTGCTAGGTCATTTGAAGGAATTGGTTGGAAATGCTTTTTATGACGCGCCCAGCTTCTAACTCACACAACAGGAGGACTGACTTGGCATCAGTGTTGAAAATCCAGGCTGTTACTGTTTCTCTCAAAAAAAGCAACAACATCAGTCTAAACACTTGTCAACAATGTGTTACTGAACAGTTTGAAGAATTAACCACTCATGGAGAGTTTGTCCAGCCTTCATAAAGAATAGGTAATAACAATACACAAAAGACATCATGCATGACTGCGCAATAACTGCAAAAACCATAGTTATTATCCTCATGATGACGATGACGTAAACTTTCATCCTGTGGCTGTGACTCTCAGACTGTCAATAGTCAAAATATCTAAGAGCATATCTGTACTCAATAAAAAACAACAAAGTAGCAAAAATAAACTTCTAAACATATACGCACACAAACTGTTGTTGACAAAAGACACCTGCCCCCCAGTCCCCGGTAAATACAATATTTTTTTTTGAAATTTTGCATCCAACGGTTACATTATGAATATTTAATGATTGACAACACAATTATGTGTGTTTACATCTAACTACTAACTTTTTGTTTTCAGTTTAAAGAGGTTGCCTAGCAATTTAAATGAAAATGAAACTTTCGCATGATTTTAATTGAAATTAAAGGAGATCACTCAGTGATGAGTGTGTAGAGAAGGCATAAGTTATTTATCATAGCTTTTAGAAAGTATTATGGTGTGCAAGCAAGTGTTATGGAAAATCTTTTCAAAAGCATTTTTTATTCTTAAGCTGTATTAAACATAAAGAAAAAGCAGGTGTGTACGTCAAAGCTTGTGTCAGGGGTTCATTGGTAAAATACTCCCCAACCACCACTACACACGTGATCCAGGGTTCTGTCTCCTGCCGACTGACTCTTAAACTCCACATAGCCCCCGGGTAAATCGGCAGGGTTAGGCGTGAAACTAGCAACCTCATTTCGTAATAAGGAGTGACATCCCCGCCTTCTGAAACTTCAAAGTTGCCCTTGGAAAGTAAAGGATTTAAAACACACATATTGAAGCTTGCCGAAGTCCTCGAGTGGAATCCTGATGAGATGTAGTGAGTGTTAAGTGTGTGCGAGGATGATATGGAGAGGATCATGGGAAGGGAAATGAACCACATGGATTTAAGTGTAACGAAGATATGCCCGTTACATTTTGCTCGAGATGTTAACAACTGAATGGTTGGAAAATAATAATGACAATAATAATAAATAAATAAAGCTTGCCATTTTTCTCGTTCCTCTTCCTTTCCTAGCGGAATAAAGGGTTTGAAGCTTTTTGAATAGTTTATAGCGGTGGTGTCATTTTCCTAGTGTGATGGGGTTCGCTACCTCACTCCCAGCCTTCCCTCTCTCTCTCTCAGACTCTTGCTAGTAAAACTGTAACAACAGAAAACAAGGGCCAAGCAACAGATCGTTTATTAGGAAATCAATAAGTATTTATGTATTTTCATGTACACTATTATAGCTTGTTCAAGCAAAAAACCGCAGACTTCTGATTGGTTGTCTCTCACAGAAAGTTAACCTTGCATCTCTTTGTTACTGTTTCTTGAATGTCAGATCACCTATATGTTAACTGTATCCGCCTACGCGAGGTCTGTTGTGGTTGGTTGTTGAATCAGTCTTCGTTCATATTTTTCTCACGACCAATATTTGGAACATAAACATTGACGTAAATTAATGTCTACCGATTTGGCTAGCAGCCAGCTGTCACCACAAAACTAGCTGAGGCTTAGGATTATATTTCCGGGGGGGTGTGTGTGGTTGTACCACTGCTTCTCATGTATTCATTATTATTATTATTTCCTTGGGTTCTGAGTTGAACATGGGGCTTCGATACCACATCTCCATTTCTTCCTGTTTTCTGGCCCCAGGATTACCCATGAGCTGTCATCTCCTCCACCCATGCTTAACTCGTCGTTTCCCATTCGGGTCCTACTCGAGGGACGCGCTTGACGTGTGGTGTCACTTAACTGTCTCTTTGGCATATGTCCCACTGATCTCCATTTCGCTTGGCGGCATATATGTTGGGCAGTAGGGGACTGCTTCTCATGTAGCTGATGTGGGAACTGTACCGCTGAACCACCGATGCACGCTAAGCCTGCTATCTATTTTAATACAAAAAAATGAACTAAATATTTAACTCACTACTGAAAAAAAACTGGATTATTCTAAAATTTTATAAATTTATAAGCAATATACCAAGCCATTAGTAGTAGTAGCCTTAATTGTCTTGTTGTATTATTAATCTATTCGTTTGTTGTCATCGGTGTGTGTGTGTGTGTGTGTGTATGTTATTTGGCTGGGTTTATCATTCTTTATGTTGTAAAATAACTTCGATTTGAATGAATTGTAATCATTGTATTCAACAGAGTTGATATTATTAATGCATTCGTTTTTTACATCATTCTACGTTTTTTTCGTGAATAGATTAATTTATCGAAGGCAAATTTATGTCTAGTAGGTTTTGCGTTGTATAGTTCATTCAAGCACACCTAACCAGCAGCAATAACAAACAAACAAAACAAACAGCGTTGCATTACTCTCTCCTTCTACGTGTGTGTATGTGTGTGTGTGTGTTTGTCTGTCCATTCCTCTCTTTTAAACACTTAGATTAGATTAGTAGACTTTTCTATTCACATTGTGTTTGTTTTTTAACTTGGATTTGTGTTTTGAAATAATTGATGGCGCTGTGTATCTCTTTTGATTGCACGCATCTCCGTGGTGTTGGCATACCTGTTTTTGTTTTGTTTTATCTATTTTGCTACATATATATATTTAGGGCTTTAGCGATTTTCTCGTTTTCTTTACCTCCCTGTTGTCTCCTGTTAGCAGTACAACTAAGCTATTTCAAGTACATTAGAATTAATGTGTCTAAATTCTAGCTTACATGCACACTATTTTATCAAGCTAAAATGTAGTTTTGAATATCTCGCTACCTGTTTTATGCCTTCAACCTTTTTTTTTTATATTTTACTGTATTTGTCTACCTTCTCCTCATTTAACTACTCTTGTAAATAACAACGGCTCAATAATCATGGATAGACTAAATGATGTTCAGGAGGGAAAACGGAGGCTTTTGACCAAGAAGAGGGTGTATTGATCATATCTCCACCCTTTGTCTAACAATCGTTATATTTCTTGACCTGAAAGCGACATTCGATTCCATCGACCACGAGGTACTATTGTAATGTTTGGCTGTGAAGAGAATACTGAGGAGAAATACATTGCGCTGATGATCAAGGCACTCTACTGGAACTCATGCAGTCAGCCAGGGGAGTGCCTACAGAGGGAGATTTGTCAGGTGAAGTAATGACAACCATTGGTGTCTGTCAGAGATGCCCACTGTCCCCAATTCTGTTTAACTTCATCATAAACATACTAAAGAACTTAACCCTAACTGCTGACTTCAGCGACTCTGCGATTGACTTGTTACCATCAGGAAATAATTTCGTTAACTTAGAATATTCAGATGACCTAGTCGTTCTAGGTGAAGACACTGACAGAATAGAGCAGAGTATTCTGAACACCTTGATTTGCAATCTGAAAATGTTTATCACACGATTCGCTTCCGCCAAATGTAAGATGATGCTACAGGACTGGACTGGACTGGACTATATTGACTGACTTCTAGCTTAAAGATTGAGAGTGAAGTGATTGGTGGAGCGTTTTGACCACCTCACTTATTTGGAGAGTTGTGTCAGCCAGTGCCAGTGGGTTGATGGCTGACGAAATCTCATCAAGGATACAGAATGCCCGTTTGATATTCACCTGCCAACTTACGTCATCTCTGGCTTTGTAGACATGATAACCGGCTGACTGTTAACCGAAATACGTTTGTATTGCTCACCAGTTCACTATATCCTCCTTTGTAGCTGGCTGGCTGTGAGACATGACCATTAAAAGTGCAAGATACGAAAAGGCCAGCTAGCTGTCTTTGATCATAAGTATCTGCCTTCCATCTCCCATGTTAAATGGTATAATAGGGTGAGGAATATTAAGATGATTAGGCAGCGATTAAATGTTAGGTGGTGAGGAGGGGAAATCAATTGGCGTGGTTGTGAAGTTACACCGATTGAGATTGTTAGGGCATGTGTAACGCATGCATGTCTAGCTGTCGATCCACGGGGAATGTTAGCTGACATAGGATAGATCAGGTTGAAAAAGACTTGACCAGTGTTGTTTAAATCAAAACATGATATCAGTCACTAAATCTACAACAGTCGGTTTTAGCCAGCCACCTTAGGAGGTTCAGAGCGTCAATCGGGTTAGAGTTGTTGGGATGGTAAACACCAATGAAGGTTGAAGACAGTTTGTGATATGGCTCAAAATCGTTCTCGATGAGATCGCCTATGCATTCATCACTCTTCGTGATTTGTCATATCCAATAAAATTCTATTTTTCTTCAGTATTTCTCTTCGTTATGCGTCAAACTTCTGTTTATTATCCTTCTCTCTCTTTTGAATCTCTCTTTACTCTCTTGTCTTGCTTTGTGTAGTACATAGAGGGAGTGTGGCAACTCGACGTGCTGCACATATGTGCAAAGTTTTATGTTGAAACCAGTCAGTCAGTCAGTCAGTCAGTCAGTCAGTCAGTCAGTCAGTCAGTCATCAATTGGTTAAAAATAACCATGGTGATAGTAGTAATTGCATTTAATGTAGGGGTTTAGTTTTCTGATCTAAACTGACAAGGTTTATTACATTTTTGCCAGTTCTGTCACATGATTCTAAATTTGCAACTCATCTGTCTTACTGCACATTGTGTTGCGTGTGCATGATATATGCATATATATAGTAGTAGAACATTTTTCTCCTATATTCTTTCACAACAATGAGTCAGTAGTCAGTCAGTTATGGAATCAAACGGTCAAAAAATCTATTGGTGTACCATACACCATATATATATATATATGTAACAACAGAAGACAAGTGCCAGACAACAGATCGTTTATTAAGGAAATCAACACGTATTTATATATTTTCGTGTTCATTATTATAGCTTATTGAAGCAAACAAACGCAGTCTCCTGATTGGTTGTTTCTCACAGGAAGTTGACCTTGCATCTCTTTGTGACTTTTTCTTGAATGTCAGCTCATCTATGTGTTAACTGTATCCGTCTACGCAAAGTCTGTTGTGGTTGGTTGTTGAATCAGTCTTGTTCATATTTCTCTCACGAACAATATATGCGACATACACATTGACGTAAAATACTGTCTACTATTTTTGGCTAGCCTGCTTTCATCATATATATATATATATATATATATATATATATATATGTCGTTTTAGGCTACTTAGGTTTTAAATGAATGGCCTTCGTTAAACGGTCCGGTCCTTCTATTTTAGATTCAAATAATCTATTATTACTGCAATATGTGTTTATAAAACTATAGATTTAAGAATGAATGCCCCTAGTTTTCGAAAATACGCAACAACTACTGTGCAAAACAAGTAGTGTCTTCTAATGATAACTTGGTAAATTTTATCATTTCAGTTGGTAATACTCCACAAACAGGAGGATTTCTATCAATTCTTAAGGTTAACACATCTACCCATAAGAAAACACATTTGTAGCAAGTTGTTGACAACAAATAAGTATCGATTTCAACGTCTGTTACTTGACATAAGTTCAGAGAACCATTGAAAAACCTGGATGGAGTACTGGATAGCTGTTTCGTCCTAGTTTGCAAGTTTTCATCAATATCCAAACTCTTCGTAGTTTGAACCCAGAACATTCTGGTTACATGGTGAGCGCTTGTACATCATCCTAGTGAGAAGTCGTGACCAAAGGACATCCTCGTAGTCAGGTTGTGCTATATATCATGGATTGACAGAAGTTAGTATTCATGGGCCATTGAGTAGTCGGATCCCAGTGGTTGAATGGTCAGTAAGCTTGTCTTGTAACGGGAATATCCTGGACTTGGATTTTGATGGGTGTGTACTGTTAAGAGTTCTTAGCTATGATGAAGCAACTGTCCAGTGCTTCTTGATTTTTCAATTGTGCTCTAACTGACTTCAGTTCACCATCAAATCTGTGTGATCTTTAATATTTGAATGATAATTTGTAAGCCTAATTTAGGAGAATTAGTTTAAATGTTGTTATAATATGACTTATTTATGCCTGGAACACTAAGTCACAAATTTGTAAAAGACGCAAAAGGAGTGAAATTCTTATCTGTTTGTATGGGTTAGGTAAAAAGCTGGAAATCTTTCATTTATGTCGCACATCAAGATACTACTTGTATGTTATTCAGTAGTATGAGTTATTTACTTTAAAATTGATAGCGCAATGTGATCCTTAAAAATAAGTTTCATCACTTATAAAAAATTAATGATAACAAACCAAATAAACTCTCCTGAGCATAAACTGTATATTTCATTGTATTTTCGTCCCCTGTGTATGTGGAGTTGACGAAGAATTAATATAAGTTATCGGATGACTGGAAAGGAGTGTAATCAGCAAGGATCTCTGTCAATGAATCAACTAAGAACCTGTTATTCAGGAAATATGCAGATGGGGAGATGGAGATCAATTCTACGTAACTGGGGAGATTTTTGAGTCAGGCAAACTATCAAGTGGACCCCAAAGTTTTAGCGAAAAGCTTGACATATATTTGAGTTGAGTGTGACATGGAGGGATATCGCGTGACGAGGTGGGGAGGGAAATAAAAGCTTATGCACGTTAGTTGAGTCAACTAAAAAAGACTACAAAGAATGGAGTATAATGAAGTAGTGTTGGTAAAGCCCTATGTTCTAACTGGACAGCAGCGTGCAGCAGGTCGGGTGTGAAGACAAATACTCATCGAAGGCATTGGCTAAGGGTCGCGCTATGTCGTGAATTGGCAGAAGTTAGAATTCATGGGCCATTGGATCGGGTTCCAGAGGCTGAATGATCTATAAGCTCGCCTTGTAACCAGAAGGTCCTGGGTTCGAACCCTGGTGGTGGGTGGGTACTGCTGAAGAGTCCCGAAATAGGATGAAACAGCTTTCCAGTACTCCCAGGTTTTCTAATGGTTCTCTAACTAATGTCAGCTCATGATGAAATCCTGCTTATATTTATTGATAATTGTATCTACAATTTATCCATCAGTCATCTGTAAAGCTTACCATAATCTGTGACGTTGACGACCAATATGAGCTGACATACGACTAAACTGGGAAAGAGAGTTAGCTAGCAGTGGTCAAACCAATACATGTTAGTCAATCATTCACTTGGTTTGAGCCAGTCACCATGTGATGATGACGGGCAGACTTCCTGACTGACATCCTCAAGACACCTACAACTAGTGGTTTCAGACTGTTGGTGTTATGGCTCAGATGTGTTATTCACTATTTCTAATCTTCTAGATTCAATAAACTGTCGTATTTTTCCATGGTATGCCATTCTTTCACCTTCACATTTCTGTCCTTTCTAGTTCTTTTAGATTTTTCTTCTTTTCTTTAACCTTGTGTGGTACACGGAAGGCGCGTGATATAGCTTGAACTGTTGCACTTCTGTGTAGACTTCTATGTTGAAACTCAGTTAGTCATTTTAATCTATCTATCTATCTATCCAGTTGTTTGTGTTTGTGTGAATACGCGTACATTCATGCATACATGGATGATTGATCACCCAACCTATCGATTTACTTAGGTAGTTGTTTGAACAAGGAGTGTTCAAAATCTTAATATTTATACTATTCAATTAGTGCATATTTTATAAATATTTGCACAATCATTTATTATCTACTTGTTGTGTTATTTTCCTTTCACTGCACACAGTATTTTAAAAGTGTATTGTGTCATAAGCACACAAAGTGTGTGACACACTAATTGTCAGTAGTATTAAATCAAACTTTAGTTTTGTTCGCTATAGGAGGAGTAGTTTTTTATGTTGTTGGGTGTTTTGTATGTATTTTAAAATCTTAACCTCACTCTCTCACTCAATGACGATAAATATTGCTTACTGGTGATTTCATACACTCTTACTATTCCCCTTTTATATGAATATGAATAAAGTGAGAATAACAACAGTTTGTGCAGAATATTTTAATACTGTGGTGAGTGCTACTTATAATCAGATATAAGTAGTATGCCAGTAAACGACTTCCGAAAAGTAACAATATGTTTTGGGCACCAGAAAAAGGCATTCGAAGAAGAGAACTGTGAGAAGAACGTTAGAAACATTGTGCAGAATCGAATATGCTGGGTTATATTCGACCAATTTACAAATGATGTGCAAATAAAGCATTGGAAATATGGTATAGCAAATTTTTGTACCTACAACGAGCCTCATCAGTCTTTTCTTCCTCCCAATACCATCATTGCTTATTGCAATGACTTCTCATCACCTACATTCAGTCTAAAGAAATTAATTAGTTTTATATACAGAAAAATTTTTACTTATTTGCAAATGTCATGTGTAATGCCAGTGGACGGGGAGACTCGAAACTTAATAAATTCTGCTCAGAAAATTACACAGAAACAGCTAGTTCCCTGTATGAACTTAGCCAAAGGAATAAGAAGACGTAATTTGTCTGAATCGTTTAATTTATTTGCGCGCACAACACATTTCGAAAGATTTGATCACACACAGACTTGTCATATGAATATATATATATATATATATATATATATATATATATATATATATATATATATATATAATTAATAAAGAGTTAAGAGGTGAGAAAGTAAATTTAAATCAAGATAAGAGGACATATTGAAGGTCAAAATAACAATGAAGATCAGTAAACCAAATAGCAGAAGTAATAGTACATCTGTTATGCTATCAAAACAAACTTTACCAAGGATGGTAAGTTTTTAGTGCGATGACGAATCAATCACTGTGTGATTAAACTTATCTAATACGGAATCTTTTTTGAGCGCATAAAGGTGGTTTAAACTTTCTAATTGCTAGGGCTTCCAAAAACTTTAAGGTTACGCCCCGAAAACATGTTCTATTGGTAGGTTTTAAAAGACGTGTAAACATCAATTTTATGTCATGTCTCTAAAATATGTCTCATGTTAGAGAAGCAAGGTCCCCTGTTCCCACCATTTAATGGGTTCTGGAGATTCTGTTTGCTTTTGAATATGGTTTTTAGCCAGAAGTTCAAGTTTAAACAAAAATAAATGCCCAAATACAATGAAAAAGAAAGTTATGTAATCAAAACAAGAGGTGGCTAAGATTGATAAGTAACTAATAGATTTAGTAACAGGGTGTTAGTGAATTCAACTCAAGTCATAGTAACAAGAGAGGCGCAAAGTTGTGCGCTACATAAAAAGGTGAGGGGCTTAACACCACAGATTATGTAATCAAATGAAAGGGAGAATGACGACATTCAGTTACCAGAGCAAGGAAAGACTGAAAACAGCTATTTTGTGAACACCCAAAATCAGGTACCAGGCGTTCGATAGCGATTTCTTCGACAAACTTAAGGAAGATTCAGCTACTTTGTTTATTGATATAATTCCAAAGGATTTCGTGATGTTCCATCTCATGACTCGTATAGTTGAGATGTCTTGCAATGACACTATTGTAAGCATTTGTTCCCTTGAGACCGTAGGGTTTTCGGTACATTTTCTAGAAATCGGTGTGGCCTTATTTCTGTTCTCCCAATATAACTGCTACCACAGATACATGTATATTCGCATATACAGAGTGCTAACATTTCGATTTCACCAAAGAGCATGCTGTCCTATAAGTCTTCTCATCTTATTCAACTCGTGTTTTTATTACGTAATTTTATTCAAGCATTTATTTTGTTGTTGATGAAAAACTTGAACTGCCTGAGTCCCAAATAGGAAGAAATGCGCGTTGTCCTGGATTCCACTGCTAGTCACCATGCACCAATTGACTTCAATTTACATGACCAGATATCGTTGAAGTATCTGCACAAGGAGCTGACATGTCAACCTGAGACCGAGCACTTCAGTCCAATCTATCGACGGGAAAATCTAAATATAATTAATTAATCACTGTGTGTAAGATATGTGTGTGTAGTTTCTGGAAAGTCTTTGTTAAGTTTGGAGCCTTCTGTCAATTGAAACTGTGTAAAACATCTGAGGTCAGGGAGGGTGTATGTTAAAATTGTTCCATTTCCCCTTAAGAAGCTGAGCAAATAAATGATGGTACTGTAGCGACAGAAGACAAGGACCAGACAGCAGATCCTTTATTGAGAAAATCAAGAGATATTTATAGATTTTTATCTACATTATTATTAGTGTTATTGTTAGCAGGGAAGCAAAGTCTTCTGATTGGTTGCTTTCTTGCCGAAGGTTATTCTGTCATCTCTTCGCGGCTGTTTCTTAGAAAGTTAGGCCATATGACCGGAAATCGTATTTGCACACGTTAAGTCTGCTGTGATTGGTTGTTGGGTTCCTCAAGGTTAAGCTTTGTTCTTGTTTTTTCTCATTACCCTGATTCGGGACGTAAACATTCACGTAAATCTCTGTCTATCGATTTTGGCTTGTTCACAACAGCTCTCACCACAGTACCACTATATTCTTCACAAACTATTGTTCTTGCTTTACTACTCTGGTGATTCTTGTAAGTCAGTGATGTTTTCTGTCTTAACCAATGTCGGTGTGTATTTGTGTGTGTGTGTGTGTGGGTGGGTGGATGTTTGTTAAGCCAATCACCATGAGATCCACTGTGTTGTTAGAAATATCACAGATTTCTAGCACAAAGTTTTCTGTACATCATAAAATTATTATTATCATTATATTTTTACATTTTTGTCTTATTTTTCTTTTGTTTTCTTGTGTTTTACAGTCAATTTGGATCGAATTCATCAACTTGTCTATTAAATAATCGAATAAGAGCACGATCATTGGATCATTTGATTATGGGATCACCATCTGGCACCACCACCGGTGGGGGTGGTGGCTCATCGTATTGTAAAGATAAAATCAATGAATCTGTACAGTTCTCTCGAGCTTTTAATCATATCCGATTAGATGACTCATCAATGACAATGTCACCAACCGCGCCTTTTCGTACACCATTCTCTTTAACATCATTAGTTTCTGCTATTCTACCGTTTAGTGTCTCCCCTCAATCAGATGATAAGTCATCATCAGTGAGTAAACCATCAGTCACATCGTCATCAAACATCACTGAATCAATGCGTTTACGACCGAAGTGTCCATTAGCTACTACTACTACTGGTCTACAAGGCTTATTAGATATGCATAAAGAAGAAGATTCTGATACCTCTAAAACACTACTTCATCGGACATCATCATCAACTACATCGAAGTCGATTCCAGCCAATCAAACCACGTCATCGTCGTCGTCATCAATACCCATATGTTCAAATACACCAAATCCACAACCACCAACATTAATTTGTCCTAATATTGTAAATCGTCCTACTCAATATACACGTTCATCACGTGGCACTAATTTGACAGAGATTACTGAAGAGTCCAGCTCACCTCCGAAATCTCAGGAGTCATTATCACAACAACAGCAACAACAAGAAACACAACAGATCCATGAAACAACTCTAGGATCACAAGAGTAGTTTTGTAGCGTTCTTTTTCATTGATGATCAACTATCATCTCACAACCGTGTGCCTGTGTGTGTGTGTGTGTTCTTTTTATCACAGTTTACAGTCTTTCATTGAAATTCCTTGTTCCAATCAGTTTCTTTTTTTTCTGTGTGGCTTTGCACACAACACATTCATCAATTTATCGATGTATCCGTTGATGAATGAAACACAGAACAAACTAATAGAATATTTTGTTAGTTAGAGATCATGTATAGTGGTTTGTTAGTCTCTCTTTCTCTCTGTTTAGCATTCCTGTCGCCAATACGTACATGCATAGATACATACTTCTGGCGTATTTTGTGCACATCTGTGAATAATAATAATAATAATAAGTGATAATAGTAGTGACTTCCGACCCCTCTTTGATTGTTATTTATATATTTATTTCGTTTAGCTTTCGTTATCAAAGCCTATCATCATGTTGTGTTATACACTGACTCAATCACTCACTCACATTATTGGGCTTGACGTGTGTTTATGTGTATACATACCCTGCCCCTCCTCACCATTGCATAAAACTGATGATGATGATTCCCAAATTCCTATCGTTTCATCATCACTTTGACTATTATTTTTTATGTTTATTCTTTCTTACTACTAACAGTAGTATAGAAGTAGTTACTGCATTTGCGCTTTTACTATTCAGTCTTCAAGCTACATGCTTACAGTTCACGTTGTATATTTCTCGTCTTTTTTTTGCTCTTCAAATTTTACTACTGAAACAAACAGTTAGATAAACTCACTTTTACCAATCGGATCATCCTTTTTTGTAGTAATATTTGTAATAATAATAATAATAATAATGTATACAACACCAGTGCATTAACAAAAATAATAATGACTTTGAGATAGTTATATTGAATATATCATGTTGAACCATCATTGTGTTGCTTGCTTGTTTCTTCGTTTGCCTATTTGGTGAAAAATAATTTAACTCTGCAAAGATTAATTCTGCTAACTATCGTTTCTTTGTTTTTCCCTAAACTTCTTCTTGTTTATCAGCATCTCATTATTCTCATCATTAAATATTTGCCAGTAAAACAGTAAGAGTTGCTTACCTGCTTGCCTCTTTTACTACCTTCTTTACTTGTTTGAGTGAAGTTAACACTGTTGTGCACTGTATGTACGTGTGTGTGTGTGTGTGTGTGTCTGACTGATTGACTGAGTGAGTGAATGGGTGGGCGTCTGTTTGTTGTATACTTTTCTCTCTTTATGTTATAACCATCATCATTAATAAACCCAGTGAATTCATTTTAGTTTTTCCTTCTTTTACACACACACACACACAGTATTTAGCCTTCACATACATGTAAAGAACCAGCTACGGCAAAGTAAAACTATACGGTCCCATAGGATGCGAACGCACGAGTGACCTTGGGTTGACTAATCGTATAAATTAGTGATTTTTGCACACACACAAAATGATTTTTATTTGCAAGAAAATGCATGAAAACACATTGACACAGGGTATCTTTCTCTGACATAACTTGAAAATACGTCTCAGTTATAGTGAGGAGTATCAGTTTTTTTAAGTTAGACTAGTTTCTGTACATGTATTCACCTTGGTGGTGACTTCAGGTGTGCTTATTGAGTGACTCGTTTATCGCTCTTATCCTGAACTGTGAAAAGAACGTTAGAAACATTGTGTAGAATCCAACAAGCTATCCGATATGATTCAAATAAAGTATTTGAGATATGATATTCCAAATTTATGTACTTACAATGAGTTTGTCCTAATAAATCATCCCTCCGAGTGTCAAAGGTCTTTTCTTCGTTACAGTATAAACACATTAAGTGACTTAAACTTGAGAATCAAAAAATCAATAGTGAAAAAGTAACGTATTATAAATTCACACTACTCACTGCTTATAAGTAGTATAAACTGAAACAGAATCGAAAAAAGACAGAGTGGAGAGGAATTTACAGGCTGGCTGTCATTGATCTTGTCGTACTTAACACATAATGTACTTGAGTGTAGATTTCGTCCTAGAAATCCGGAAAGATAATTTGTGAAATCAAACTTTCGATTTAATAAACCAAACATTTGACTAACGCGTAAACTCACAGAAGTCAGAATTTGTCTAAAATACGGCACTGTATTATGCATAAGTATAAAAGAGTATATGAACCTTAAATTGATAAGGTGTTTGGGCTGAATGCAGTTAAATGCATTGTCACTATGCATCAATAAGAAATAAAATAAAGCTTTATTAAAGATGATCCGCGTGGGAATATAAACAACGCGCTAATGTACATGTCAAGGATCAAAACAATTTGAATAAACAATGTGTTACAGAAGAGTGGCATATAAGGAGTAAATGTACATCAAATACAGTATAACCATAAAAGGATAATTACACCAGATTAAATTGAACGTTTGTACAATAACTGAGATAAATTCTAATGAAAATCAGTAACTATGGTTACGGAGTAGTAGAGAGGTAAATAAAATATAATCTCCTAGCACTGAATAGGAATGTGTAGAATAAAGTTGGACATAAATGAAAAGCTGTTATGGAATCGATAAAAAAACGAAATTCAAGTTTGATCGCTCATCTGTGTTAGTCATCGAACCATTGAAAACCAGCTGAGAGAACTGGACAGCTGTTTTGCCCTAGCTTGAAACTCCTTAGCAGTACTCACCAGGTATCGGACGAAGAACCTTCAGGTCAGGAGGTCAACCTCGTTGACCATAGAGCCACTTGTCTGGAAAAGCCAGTTCATGGATTCTAACTTCTGTTCTTTTCACCACATATAGCGCGAATGGCACCAGTGAAAGTCATCGGTGACTATTTGTCCTTATGCCCGACCTAGATGACCCAGTGGTCACGACTTCTCACTGAAACTCTGGGCAATTTCGTCCTGTAGGCAGACGTTACTTAGCGGTAAGGTCTCTGACCGCAGCACTGGGTGACGCAGGTTCGAATTTCAGAAGGGACATGAGTTCCATCAAGGTTTCAGATACGCCCTGCTGACTGGTGTGTGCAAACTAGCACGAAATCTAAGTCGAAGGCTTCCTGCCGATTGCCTCCAAATATCTAAGACGTTATTTGTTTAATGATAATTCAGAGATGAATATTTCATGACTTTTCTCAGTTTCGATTCTGAAAATCTTTCACTTTTCGGATAAACCGACAACACAGAAAATAAATTCAATATGTTTCGAGAGATAATCTAGGCATTAGTCTCATATATTGTCCTATAATTTCGTCTTGTTAACTATGTTGATTTATCTTTTCATTTGTCTTTTGTCTACTCATAAGTAGGCATAAGTTTTAAGCAAAAGTTTATCGGGTTTAATTCGTTCACCCATAACCAAAGAGAAGCATTAGCTTTTTGCAGAAACCTGTTAATTAGCTGAAATTTCATTTGCGAAAACAAATATGCATAGCTCAAACTTTGTTCACTGACCGATTTTAATAACTAAATTTTGATCACGAATTGATTTCAGTTAGAGAACCACTAAACACTACTGAGCACTGGTTTCTGGTTTCGTCCTCCTTTGAGAATCTGTAGCAGTACACACCACTGACCCCAACCAGGAACTTAAGCCAGGAGGAAACATCTATCTAGCACTGCGTGGCGTTCAGTGGTCCTTTAGCTGAAGCCAATTAGTGGATATCTAGTGGAAATCCATGGCTTGTGGGGTTCACCAAGATAGGTGTCAGGAGAGATATTCATCGATAACATTGGCTGACATATCACAAAATTCAATAAAGAAAAAATCCCCATTTAGACATTTAGAAAACAGAAAGATTGAACGAAGAAATATTTACTTTTCAATTAGATCCTCATCTCTGGCTCTACTCTAATATATACAGCATTTTAATTACAATACAACAGTTTGCCAATCAAGTGGCGATAAGTTTGTTGATTGGCAAACTGTTGTATTGTAATTAAAATGCTGTATATATTAGAGTAGAGCCAGAGATGAGGATCTAATTGAAAAGTAAATATTTCTTCGCTCAATCTTCCTGTTTTCTGAATATCACAAATTGTCAGAAGTTAGAAATGATGGCTTTTAAATGGTTGACGGATACCTCGTTCAGCAACTTCTAATTAATTTATTCTCGCGTACCAAAGACAAAGCAAAAGCCAATAATTGATCGTCCAAACTTCGTAATATATTTCGGAACCAAGACAAGCCGTTAGACGAACGCTTAGCTAGCTAGTGGTTGTGCACGTGACACGACGGAGTACCAAATGGCGGGGATGCTTGACCGGAAGCCTTCAGCTAAACAAGTCGACTTAAACAGTGGTGATCAGCATCCAATGAGTGATTTCTGTGGTCAATAATTTTGGGGAATTATTTACCGCTACAGGCTCACCGGATTTTGTCCTGGTGATCCAGTGGTCAGTGAGCTTGCCTTGTGACTTTAAGGTCATGATTGCGTTCTACTGAATAGTACAAAACAGGGAAGAAGCAGCTATCTAGTACTCCCTGGTGTTCAGTGGTTCTATAAATGAAGTCGGTTGGCGATCAAACTTGAAATCAGTCAGTTCTATGCAATCAATAAACTGAAAATTGAATAACTCACATGAATGAAAGAACTCAACAACCAATGGTATTAGAAATGAGTAGTTAAGTCGAAAAAATCAGTTCCCTTGATAAAATTTGACAAATTAATAAGAAGACATGATATCTCAATCGGGGTATGTATCTGAGCAACACATTTCAAACAGTCTGCATATCCTTCCTATATTCTTGAAGATAAGGAGTAGATCAGATTTCTTTTTCACTCATTTATCTTTGGTGTAGATGAGCATTTTCAGTAGTGAGTCATAACACGCTCTTTTCTTAACTTTCCACGAGGCAAACTGGAATTAAGTAATCGATTATCAACCCTATTACCACTCCATCTTTTTGTTCTGCATAGAGTATCAGTGACTTTGAACTGGATATTGCAAGTGCATTTCAACAATAGTTCTCTAAAGTAGGGGATGGGAACACTTATGTTCAAATTGTTACCATCCATGTGCGTTTATATAAAGAAATATGAAGTTCTGTCTTTTGATTGCTGATTTATGTTCTTTGATAAGAAAAATCTCAGTGACCCTGAACAACCAGTCAGAATTTATATAAGATTTATTTTTATTTTTTTATATTTTTGATTATAGATTGATTCCACACCGTACTTTTGGTACAAGTATGAAATTTTCAGCATGTGATATCGGTTACCGAAATTCTACAGGCCGACCATTGATATAGGGTGTGCGTCGGCGGTGGATCGAACCCCGGACCATGTGCATAGTTGACGGGAGTCCTAACCGTTGTGCCACCGACGCAAAAGGTAGCGCAATCCCTAGAAAATGTATTAATAAACATTGTAAACTTGATGTTGCACTGGATAACTGTCCCTTGTGTTTTGTAAGAATGTCTTCCAGTTACTCCAATACCTAGTCCATAGAAAAACGACACCATAGTCGACAGATGTATTCACCCAGGTGACTGTAGATCATGGTACTTTGAGATCCATTGATACTCCTGATAATGTTCTTTAACCTAACCCTATATCTAATCTTATTCACAGTCTTAACCCTGAAAACCCTAATCCCTCCTAAAAGTAAAGATTTACAGGAGAATAAATAGATTACTGTGTCTACCCTCACAAAATCTTTAAAGGCAGGGATGGTTTGAATTGGAATGACCTTTGCTTAGCGTCTTCTAAATCTGACTGGTTCTTTAAGGTCAACTTTTAACAAACCTTGGTACTTTGACTTCAACAGAAGATAAATGGGAGATCTTTATCAACCTAATATGATGTGTTTTTACAGTTGATGTAATTTGATGATATTAGTTTTATGCGACTACTCACAAACGTCCCTTCAATCATGGCAATGTGTTACATATGTCAATATATTGATTCGAACGGACTGCATACCGTAATATCCATTCTCTAATTTGTCGTGTTCATCTTCACTAATAAAATGTGTAAACAAAAGAATGGTATAGTTATATGGATTCACCGTTTCATACTCTGTTATGGTAGAAGAGGAAAGACTTGGTAGAGGAATATTTATTTGTAATGTGGTATCTCCATAAAGCGAAATTATGTACACCTTATCTTCAGAGCACCATTTGCACAGATCTTCCGTCTTGTGCTACTTCTCTCCTTCCTTCATATTTTGTGTTCCTTCCCCGTCTCCTGTGTATCTCTCAGGCAACGCAGTATCATTCACTTTCCCTAACGTCAAATCTGTCTCCCTGCTATCTGATGTTTTCCTTCCTATGAAGGTCTCTTTGTACACTACTGATACATCTTGTCAGTAGCAGACGCTACAACTCTGCTGATGCAAATTTTCGTGGATTTTAAAACTTCAGAACACACAGCCGAGTGAAATAGTCCAGTTTTTCCAAATTTATCTAAAGATATATATAAATGATAACTTAATTATATTTAAGGGTGCTGAAGAGATACTGCGTCTTTTCTACAGCTGTACCGTTGCACTCCAGTTCAAGCTAGAAAAAGAATTTGATCGAAAATCATTCCTTTTTAGAAATTATATTTGACTAAACTTATCAGCAGAGCACTGGAAATATCTATACAACAAACAAGTTCTTTCCTTCCTTGCATTTGAAGTTTCAGCAGCGTCGGTGTTGGTTTCCTGCGTTAAGTCGCTAGCCTCACTACCCTTCTCTCCAACCTTATGTTTTCATGAGGCTAACCT